ATTCTAAAAGTTCCACAATGAGACACTACCTGTGAAAACAGCACAAAGTATTTCATACAGACTGATTAAATCTATACTTAATCAATTGGGTTTTCTCTACACATATAATTAACAAAAACTTCTAACACAATCAATATGGATATTTTAAAAATGGTAATAAATAAGAAAAGCAATTTAAATCAATTGTACAAGTGGAGAAGTCCTAACTAGAGAGTCCTAGTGGCACTAAGATCAGATAAAAAGGTTTGTGGTATAAAAAATCACCGTCATCTCAAGATAACATCGGAAAGCTTTGTTAGATCCAGATTTTATTTAAATTGACAAATTACTTGTCCAGCCCTTTGGGCGATTTATGCAGTCGTATTGTTATATGTACCATGACCGTATTGTTGGAAAAAAAGACTTGTAATACCACCTAATGTCCAAAACTAAAGCTTGTAAAATGATGAACAAAAATTACTGTGACAATTGACACCTTCTACTTCAATGTAAAGTGCTTCTGATCATAAAATTCTCATAATTCCAAGTGCTAAGTAGGTATTTTATTATCTACCCAGTTTAAAGTCAATCATGATAGCCCTCTTTTAGACATACAATAGTTTAAACTTTCAGATTAACTTTAAAAATTAATTGAATATGAAATTGAAGGTGACACCACTAGCATAGTGTGTCTGTTATAAAGATTAGCCATCATAAATTTTTTGGTAAATCTTTTATACACTAATATTCTCTGGTCACTTGCTTTGATCTGAATCTCTGCTAAGTTAATCAGAATCTGTGTAAGTCTTTTATGGCTAGCAGAAGAGGGGAAATAATTCACATGTCAATAGTTTACAGCAGTGCTTTAATACAGACTTAAACCTTAAGGAACTGTGACCTCTTTCTTTTAATAATCTATGAAAATCAGTTTTTTTCAACTTTAGATGAAATAACAACGTTAATGCAAGCAACTTAAAGAAAGCAAAATTTTATCATGACAACAGGAAAATGTGTATGTACATGTACATGATTTAATATGTTTTGATTAGAAAAAATAAGAATCTCTGATAGATAACCTAAGAAATCTAAGAAAAGTTACTTTCAGATACCATCATCTAAAAATCCTTTAGCTATTTTCTCTAATCATGATAATATTGTTGACAGAAACCCACCAAAGAAGCTACACTAAGAAAGTTAATATCTTAGTTTTAACATCACCTTCAAGAAAACACAATTATCAGCATTTATACACTGAAAATTAATTATTTTCCAAATTTTTTAACATTGTTGTTTACTCTAAACTATGTAATTGCATGAAGAAGGCAATGTTCTCTGTCTTTTTGTATGAAATTTTCACCAATTTTCTCAAAATTACTTGTATTTTTTTAAGATAACTGTCACCTATTGTTTGCAATTTTAACTTTCAAGAATTAAATCATAAACTTTGATTTTGACGTCTCAAAATTACTATATACATATATATACATGTTTAGTAAATTGTGACAAGAAAAATCTAGTATATATTTATCTTATGAATTCTTGAAAATTTTCAAGTAAAACTATGAAAATGTCATAAGAAACAGCAAATATCTTTTGGTTAAAAGGTGGAAATTTCTTGAAAATTGGACAAGAATTGAGTTTGGAGTATATTTTTTTAATTAACAATTTTGTATAAAATAATAGGGAAAGTATTGAAGAGTGAAAAGCACTTTTGTCCATGTGCTGTAAAAATTTAATTACACAAATGCTCTGTCCAGTGGACAGGTAAATACATATATTTCACTATTTATAATACTACATTGAAAATAAGAAAAAAACCTTTCAGTTGCCCTAAATGAGTTGGAAATGATGTTCATTAAAAACTAAAAGAGAAATAAACAAATCATTCAAGTTGTTTTAATGATAAAATAGAAAGGAACTTCTCCCTTGCCTACAATGATGGGAAATGATGCTTACATAATACTAAAAATGAAAAAATAAGAATCTTTAAAGTTGTCTTCATGATAAATTGGAAGGAACATCGTGCTTCCTCAATATAATTGGAAATGATGTAAATATATATATCAAAATGAAAAAAAGAAAAAAAGTTTTCTCTCCTAACAAGAGAAACAATTTTTCAGATTTCACATGAATTTTCATTCTAATCACAATAGAAAAGATGTTTTGCATCATCCTTAAACTATGATCTATATAGGGTCAATATTATTTCTGACCCTTCTTGCCGCTGTGGTGTTAATCATGAAGATTCCTATCATTTCTTTTTTAAATGTATATTATATTCAGACATACGAAATAAAATGTTTGAAAGTCTGCGCTGGCTTCCAAAAGATTGTAAAATTAACATAGAACTACTAACCTCGGGTAGTTGTCTTCTTTCTCTAGAGCAAAACCAAACCATTTTCAAAAATGTCTTAGAGTTTATTAAAAGTTCGGAAAGATTTCTAATTGCCTAGATAGCAAACCATGATCGCACACACATCATCATCTAAGTAAAAGTCTTCCTTTTTTTTTTTTTTTATTTTTTTTTTTAATTTGTATTTTATTTTATTTTTTCGTTTTCTAAATATTCATTTATTTATTTTATATATTTATTTTTTCTGTATTATTGTTTTCTTTCTGTCTTTTGACATAAATCCATATATATATATATATATATTAAATAGATATACCATTCTATACATGCATGCTCATACATATATTTTGTATTATATTGCTATAAATGTTGAATGGAGAAGACTTCATAAGTCTGTTTGACTTGTGTCTTATCCAATTTGTACTTGAACAAATAAAATATGTTTAAACTAAAAATAGAAAAGAATATCAAAATTTTATTGAGCAACAACTACAAATTGAAAGCCTACTGATTGTATTTATGAGAAACTGAGGTTTTTGTTTTTTACTAAGAACCTTTTATCTGTTATTATTGACAGTTATAGCCAGAATTCCCTACTAAATTATTTTTTCAAAATATGATGATATTTTCGTGACGTCAGATATATCTAATATCAGATATTCATCATTTTATATATATTTCGTGTTAAAAATTTTAACAGGGTTACCCAATAATTTTGGTTACTTAAATACATGTAAAATTAAACTACTATCACAGTTTAAATAAAAATAAAAAATATGATACATTTAAGACAATCTTATATTTTCAAAATCAAACTGGGAAATGTTTACTAAATGAAGTAAGAAATTTTAATATCAATAAAATAATAAAAATAAGCTTTCAATGGGTATAGCTTTAACTGCATAGAATATAAATTTTTCTGTTACAATTGAAATGAAAAATAATATGAAATTTAAGAAAAAAGTCTAGTCATTTTGTAGCTTGTTGTGCTGTATGAATTTTGCTCATTTTTGAAGGCCATTTGGTGACTTATAATTGCTTACTTCTACGTCATTTGTTTTCATTGGTTATCATACCACATCTTCACTTTTTTATATTGAAAATTGCCTCCCTTGCAAGAGGACAACAAATCTTTGTCTCATGGAGACATTTTTAAAAATCCTTTTTTTCTAATTTTTAATTTTATATAAATATTGTTTCCATAGAGAAAAGAGCTTTCAGAATAGATTTATTCTTAAAAGTTTTACCAGGTAATTGATGGGTAAGTATAAAACCTGTAGAACATCTCAAAAAGTAGAATAATTTTAAAAGAATTTTGTTAACTTATCTGGTTAAAGCTTCAATTTGAGAATTATTACAACAGCATAGCTTTTCACTCAAACTTTAACACAACCTTTTCTAGTTAGTGAGTCCGCTAAGTTTACATATAAACTCCTCCAAGATAACCTTTATTACTAATATCATGCATTCACTTATACATGTAGTATCAAAAAAGTTCTTTTATATTTTATTGTTTAAATGAATACTAACATATCTACTTAAAGTTTAGTAGGTAACCAGATGCTTTATCATGTTTATACATCAATAATTTGTCCACTGACTCAATGTTCTCCCCAAGGCCTTATACCACCATGGTGCTATATCACATTTAACATGGTGCTCTCTGTATAGATTTTATAATGAAATGTATGATAAATGTGGTTCTAAATTTTGAGGAAACAATGCTATTTCAATTCTAATGGTGCTATTTGAAAATACTGGACAAAGCACTATTTATTTAACATATATTTTCAATTTAAATACACAAAATTTTAAAAAATATTACATAACAAATTTTGTCTGCATGCTCTTAAGGTTTAAAAAAGACGGTCAATTAAAAGTGAGCAGAGAAACAGACTATTCACTTTTTCATAATTTGTACATTTATTTACATACAAAATTTTCATATCCATTAAAATTCATAACTTTTAAAGAAACACACTTAACGATGACTACTCAACTTAACTCAGAAGTTATTCATTTTCTTATAACATAATTGTGCACATGATTTGAGAAGACTCAATCTAAAATATGTGTTCAATATTGAAATAATGTGGAGGACAATTAAGAAATTATTAAATCTCTTAAATTCTTTATGAAAATTAAATGATAATTTTACCGCATAGGAAATGAACATCTGTATCATTCCACCAAGATTACTAATGTATTTAAATAAATAGTAACTATTGGAAATATTTTTGCCAAGTAAAATTTTGAGACAAGGAAAAGTAAAAAACACTTAATTTTCTGCAATAAATACACATTAATTTTTTATTTCCATTCCTCTAGAATACAAAAAATGTCTAAATACAGGAGGAACTTTGCATCAGAAAGATACAACCTATTATCAACTCTTGTACAATATAAGAGTATATTGCAACAATAAAAGAAAGAAGTTATAAGCTTAAATTAGAAAAAAATCTTTATACTCAGATTCTATAGTAATTTTCTAATAAATCAATTAAATATAAAAATGATAAATCAAAATTTATTTCATTTTTACATTTAAATAAGGGAATATGAAGTATCTAAGAAAGTGTGTTCATTTGTAAATGTCCAATTTTTTATTTTTAGTTGATCAAATGCAAGCGATAGATTTTAAAGGCAAAAATAAAATTATTAAACTTACTTCTTAAACTTCTTCCCTCAGAGTCGGGAGTTCCCCGTTCAGTATCTGAGTAGTTTTCAGAAATTCCTGCAGAGCTGATACTTGATGGTCTTTCATCTTTGATACTTTTATGTCCAGTAGAGTAGTCCATCGCCATTTCACTGCATTCAGATTCATGGGTCTTTGGACTGAAACCATTATCATCGTGTTTGGGTTTTTTAGCTGGAGAGAATGCTGAGTGGTAACTATCTGTATCACTAGTGCTTACTGGTCTAAAAGCACTACTGGTCCCTGGATTCATGAATTGCATACCACGCTCCATATTTGCTCTGACAAATGGAGGTACTGGTGCATACAGTGGAGCAGGATAGGGTTCTCCGGGTCTGTACATTGTAAAAGGTGTTGAATATGGTGAAGAAATATCTTTATCTCCAGCATTTTGATTTGGAAATGGAGCCCTTCCACCTTCATGATTTTCTGCAGTTGATGCCAGTACCATCAAGGCTGGTGAAGTCAAAGGATTAGGTACAAATGTTGAATTCTCCATCCCTGCACCTCCAGCTTGGGCTGCTGCAACAGCCGCTGCATGGTGAGAGAAAAAAGGTTTATGCCAAAAATTAAATCTAAACATTGCCAACTCTGACAAATTCATTGTTGTAAAAATAAAGTTGTCCACATTCAATAAAATAAGTTTTTATATATAGATATCACTTTTAACACTGTCAATACACAACAATAAAATGTCAAGTGACAAAGTTAAGTTTCTAGTTTTATTATTTAACAGACAAGTAGTGTCTATTTGTGGTTGGTTGATTCTATCTAACCAAACATTATTAGAACAGCCCACTTCAAACAAATTATCTTGGTTGGAACACTCATTATTAAACCTACCTCCACATGCGCAGAGTGGAATGTTCCATATATGGCAACTGTCAATAACGACTACCAAATAATAGATTGGAAATTTCCTTTGTAAAATAGATTTATATCATATTTTATCGAAGAGCATAGTAGGATATGTTAGAAAGGTATCGCCAATACACTGCGAAGTTACAAACATATCATATTTTGCGCTTTAGTTGAAAATGAAATTATGTTTTGTAAACAGTTTGCGCGGACTTCATTCAAAGTTGATAGCTAAAGTAAGTGTCGCTAAAATTAAAAGTGTACAAAGACAACACACTTTCATTACAAAATATTAGTGAATGCACTTCTTTAAGTTGTTGTACAATAGTTTTACTTGCATAACAGTCATTTTGACAGACAGATGACATGAGAAACTGATGGATAACTTCGACAATACTCACTGATTACTGTCAAGATGACACCGGAAGGTCAATCCTATATTGGATGATGGGATAGAAGGTGTTTTCCGAATCTAATTATAGAACGGCATAAAGAAGCGATATGTTAATGAATACAAATCTCTGTCTAAATACGTTTCATGAAACAAATTTTGGTACGTGATTATTAATTTATCTAGAAAATAAAAACGCCGTCAAAGGGAAATAATTAAATAAAGTTATAAGAATAATTATTATAATCAATATTATAAAAACAACACATCACAAAATCTAAATAAATCAAAAAAGTAAAGACTTAGAAAAACCGAATTCGTAATAGCTTTTATTACGTTATCTGTACTTATTGTGGCTTTTTAAAGATAAATAAACCTGACCGATTAGGCCGATTGGAGATATGTTTTAAGCCGATGAAAAAAAGGGGGGATGAGATCTACTAGAATAAATTTAATCCCGTCACATATTCATGTCTGATACATCGTCAGTAGCCGGTTTTCTAAATACATATAACTTATCTTAAATCATTTTTGTTATTTTACGGACTTGGTGTTGATGTCAAAACTGTGTAAGTTTTTGTTTAATTTAGTCAAAACTTTAAAGATTAGACTCTGGACGATTTAGAGCTTGACGTATTGTACTGTGACTGTATGGTGAAACACCTGTCTATTTTAAGAACTTTAGTTTTACCTTATTGTCTACTGTTGAAAACTTTGTTGACCTCTATTTGGTTTAATGTGTCGGTGGATTGCTGTCTCATTCAGACGTGTACACAACATCTCCTTTAATTATTATTTTAACAAATTCCTCTCCAGTATCTATATAAAATTATTCTTTACTGTACTAGATCTACACAGAAATGAAAATTCAGTGTTAATTTTGAGATGTATCATTTGCGCCAATTATTATTTTTCAAAGGTATTAATTGCGCCGATATACAGTGGGATTCATTTGCGCCAATTTACCTGTACACAGTCTTATCATACATAATCATAAATTATTTTAAGTATATTAAAAAGCATTTTCAGCATTTATATTCCAAACATGGATTCAGGAATAGAAATGACATGCCGCTGGTGTGATGCCTTTTGCCTGCTAAATCCGAGTGCACAGTTACCGGTAAATGTTATCCTTTCTCCAAGAATGTTGTCACAGATATAATCTAAGAATAAATTTTACTACTATGCATGTTGATTTTGATAAAAGAATGCATATTTACGACGTGACCGAGGTTTTGCAAGCTATTATCACCAAGGCGTTTCGTTTTCACCTTGGTCAGGCATTGTGGCGAAAATACTCATGCCGTTGAAAAGTGTCAGAATTTTACAAGAAGAGAGCTCAATTGTAGAGATTATGTTTGTGTTATGAGTTACAAATTCCAGTCTTTCGTATAACTATGTAAACTGCATGTCCCAAGCCAGGATAAAGAAGGAGGACGCAATCGTATACTTTAAGTTTGGCACAAATGCTTCTTTATATTTTGAAAACTAGTGGCGCAAACGTGGCATTGGCGCAAATGTGTTGTGACGCAAAAGGACGCATTTTTAGCGCAAACGGATTTCTCCCAATTAAGCATAGACATGAAGATGATTTCAAATGGTAATCTTTTGTGGTGCATGTTCTCCGCGCGAGGACAATGTTGAATACCAGTTCACAAAAACGTTCTGGTATATAGAATTAACTAAAACAGAGCTTTTGGTACACTTTAGAACTTTTAGTCACCGAAAAAACTTTAAAGGGACGTTATTCGGACATACAATGAATTCACGCGGAGAATTTAAGAATTGTCCAAAACAGTTATCATTTTTGTGAAAATATTTTCCTTTCCCTTTTCGTGCTGAGCATTAAATCCTTAAATCGGTACATTCACAAAGAGACCGTGTTTATTACTTTAATTTTCCATAACAATGAGTAAACAGATGTGTTTTAAAACTTATAGATGTTGAAAATTTTTATTAGATTTTTGGGAATTTAGCATACCTATGGCTGTCAGGGACACTCTGAAAATTGAGGCATTGAAAGAGATTTAGATTTTTCATCACTACAGTAGTAAAATAGAAAAACAAAGGATATGCGGTATATATATATATATATATATATATATATATATTTCTCTAATTCTTCGTGAATTTATCCCTTCCTGCACCCATTGTATAAAAAAAAATTAATCAACGTGTGGTTCGTTTGATCTCAGTTCTTCATTGGTTAAAATCCGATTATGACGTAGAATTTTCTTGCTTCCCTCTGAATTTCCTATTGTGACGGCATGAAAAAGGGCGACCATGCCTGATGACGTCACATAGAAAGAACACATCTTTTATGCAGATCATTCAAAAAGAAGGAAGAAGTTTGCCTGCATATTGTTTGAAAATCATTAGAGAAACAGATTCCACCACCAAAACTCGTGTAATACGATATTTATCCACTCTCGACAGTTAAATTTTAAATATTTAAAACGCTTGGCGAGCCTCGCGTTTTAAATTTGAAAATTTAACTGTCTCGAGTGGATAAATATCGTATCACACTCGATGCAGTGGTAGAATCTATATATATATATATATATATATATATATATAATTATCATGATAACACGCTTCTAATGCATATTTCTGGGTATAAAATGGAAGATTAAGTTTTTTTCCCCTACGATATAGGGTAAAATATTTGAGGTATGTCCAGTGCACGATGTAGTGACGATATCGCCGATATTGTCAACTTCGTTCATGATTTATACCTGCTCGCAACATTGTCTTACTTGTTGTCTACATCGTTGATATCGCCGACATCGTTCTTCTTGCTGTCTACATCATCCCCTTTCCTGTCTACATCGTTGACATTGTCGACATCGTGATGTTGACAACATCGTGACGACATCGTCTACATCGTCCCCCTTTCCTGTCTACATCGTTGACATCGCCGACATCGTGATGTTGACAACATCGTGACGACATCGTCTACATCGTTTTTCTTGCTGTCTACATCGTTGACATCGCCGATATCGCGATGTTAACAACATCATGACGACATCGTCTACATCGTCCCCCTTTCCTGTCTACATCGTAGACATCGCCTACATCGTTTTTTTAAATAAAGAAGTGTTTAGTTTATCAATTCCATTTTCAAATAATGTTTTTATATTACGCCTGTGTCGATGTTCTTAATAGTAGAACTTATTTTGACAGTTTTTTAATGTTTGCAAATCTCTATCCTCCTTCTCGTCCTCCTCCTCAACATCTTTGCGATGTTGACATTATAGATTACGTTGTAATACAGTGTTTTGACATTGTCTTTTTCGCGATGTCGGCAATGCCAACCATGCAGAGACAAGATGATGAAAGGATATCGACAAAGTAGTACAACACAATGTCGACATCGTTGTATTCAAAATTAACAATGTAAACACGAGTTATGTGTTAGCGATATCGGCAATGTCAACGATGTAGACAAGAGTATGAAACGATATCGACAACGTTGTACAACATCGTGTCGACATTGTCTACTTTGCGATATCGTCAAAGTCAACGATGTAGACAAGAGTATGAAACGATATCGACAACGTTGTACAATATCGTGTCGACATTGTCTACTTCGCGATATCGGCAATGTCAACGATGTAGATTAGAGTATGAAACGATATCGACAACGTTGAACAATATTGTGTCGACATTGCCTACTTTGCGATGTCGACAATATCGGTACTACTTTGTATACTAGACATGAATGCCCGTATTTGCTTAAAGGCGGTTATGATGAGCCTTAACCGTCGATTCTTTGTCTCGGCGACCGTATTGGATAATTTCCATTCTGAGGAAAAGGAGTCGCGATATTATTCTAGTTACATATTTTCGGAATCGGACCAGTCGTTTCTAATTGATCATCAGGAAGAACACATGACAAAATATTTGGCCCCATAACACCCACTTTTCTTTTCATAGAAGACTTCAGTAGCTCATAAAAGGTTATTAACAAAATTTAAGCAGATTCTAGATTTCTTTTCTTACGATTTGAGACCCAAATAATGTCAATGCTAAATATAAGGTAAATTAGGGATTTTGATGTGCATTTTTTTTCCAGTCTGCAGAAGATAGCAAAATAAACAAACACTTGAGTTTCATATGATATGGTCCACTCAGTTACACAGTTTACATCAACTTTTGTTTGCAGATATCTTTTGTCCATTTAAATCAATACATCTCACAACATTTATTATATGAGAGGAGTTTAGTTTATTTTGGCACCTTCTGCAGAAATGAACAAAATATGAATAGCAAAATCCAGTTAAATTTTTAATATTCTGAAACTTAAAATGCATTTAAATTTTATATATCTAGGTCCAGCCATGCTCTAAAACTTTTCCAGGTTCACAGGTTTGTCTATACCCAGAGTGAAATTTGTGCCCGTATTTGCTTAAATGCGGTTATGATGAGCCTTAACCGTCGATTCTTTGTCTCGGCGACCGTATTGGATAATTTCCATTCTGAGGAAAAGGAGTCGCGATATTATTCTAGTTACATATTTTCGGAATCGGACCAGTCGTTTCTAATTGATCATTTGGCAAAAAGGATCAGGAAGAACACATGACAATATAAAGAGGAAATTAAGGGTCACAAATCGAATGGGAAGACAGTAATAACCATATCTAAAAGAAAAGACGACATGCAAAAGTGAAACATCAAGCCCCAAATCTTAACTTAAGCAACATGACAACCTCTTTTAAAATCGAAACGAACTCAGTGCTCTCGAAGGAAATTCCTTCAATAAACGTGACACAAGTCTCGGCATATCATAAGGAGTTGGGATGATTGCTCACTGTTATCCTCGCTTTGAAAATTACAATTTTTTTCGTTTACTTTATATATATGCATATCGCTTTATTCATAGACAGAAACAGGATTCCAAGCAAAAGAAAAACAAACTGAAAATATAAAGTAAAATATATATATCCTCTCACAAAAGGTAACTATATAAAAGTAATAAGCACCATGGAAACCAAATATCCCACTAAAAAATAAGTGTAAAAAGACAATACAATACAAA